AATTCTTTCCATTCTTTTCAAGGTTCAGGGGAAAAAAACAAGTACTGACTGTGAGGATTCATGGGCAGTGATCAGAAGTCATGTCAGAGTCAAACGAGGAGGCTGAGGGGCTCCTGTTTTCACCCTCCAGTTAGTAAAACAGAAAGAGGACAAAAAAATAGGGGCAAAAACAGTAGAGCATAGATGACACAATCTACAGACTTACCAACCTGGTGCTTTGTAAGTGTGTGAAACCCACCTGCTGGGCTAAGGAAGTGACTGCCTGTTGGTCCAATCTACATCTTCCCAAATGAAGAGGCCTTTCTCCTTGTCAAGCCAAGTGATTCACTGTTTTTCTCCCAAGAGAGTAAGCTAAGCATATTTTTACTTTGGATAATTTTGCTAAAAGCCAAATACCATGTATGTTTCTTTTTTTTTCTTTTCCCTTTTTTAATTAATGTATTTTATATTCCTGCTGAAATTTACCCTTTCCTTTCTCTTCCCAGTCCATTGCCTCTACCTCCCTTCTGCCTTCCCCCAACCACTTCTCCTCCATTTCAGGAGGCCTCCCATGAATATAGACAAAACCTGGCACATCAAGTTGTGATAAGAGTAAGCACCTCCCTTGTACAAAGGCTGGTCACGGCTACCCAGTATGAAGAATAGTGTCCTAAAAGCCAGAAAAAAAAGTCAGAAACAGTCCTTGTTGCCACTGTTAAAAGTCCCACAAGAAGACTGAGATATACAACTGTCACCTATGTGCAAAGTACCCAGGTCAGTCCCATGAAGGCTCTCTGGTTGTCAGTTTGATCTCTATGAGCTCATATGAGCTGGGTTAGTTGATTCTTTGTAGTCTCTTGTGATGTCCTAGACCAATACCTTTGGCTCCTACAATCCTTCTTCCCTCTCTTCAGCAAGCTTTCCTGAGCTCAGCTTACTGCTTGGCTGTGGGTCTCTGCATCTATTTCCACCAGCTTCTTGATGAAGCCTCTCTCATGATAATTGAGTTAGGCACCAATCTAGGAATATAGCAGAATATCATTAGGCATCATGACCTTGACATTTCTTTTGCTTCCAGTTGTGTGTGGTTCTATCCTAAGTCTCTGGAACATCAGCTTCTGGTTTCTCATCCTCCAGGCAGTGTAAGTAGTGAGTTCACTCTCATGGCATAGGACTCAGGCTAGACCAGTCATTGACTGGCCACTCCCACAATCTCTGCATCACCCTTATCTCAGCACATTCTATAAGCCCAACACACTATAGGCCAAAGGTTATGTAGCTGATTCTGTGAGTGGACTTTGGGGGCAGATGGGGTTGGGAACATGAGGGATCCAGTGGGGATGGGGAGGGGAGGGAAGTATGAATCAGGTTTCTGATGACTCTGTGATCAGTCCTTTTGCTCTCAGGGTTTGCTGGTAGGAGAGTCTAGAAGCTTACAAATTGGGCTGCTGATGTCATTTCTCAAATTCTATAGGTGACTGCTGAGTTAAATGTACTTCAAACAAACTAAAATAATTGGCCTGAGTCTGGGATACAATCTCACATCTCTATATGAGAGATGAGTTCTGAGGGAGGCAGTTATATTGAATGCAACTTTGAAATAAAGACATCTTAAGTTTCTCAGTTCTTATATCCACATTGTAAATGTATTATGACAAAGGGCAGAAACCAGATATATATTACAATAATCCCTTTACTGATCTCTTGCTCATTTTCCCGTCCTCCATTTTCTCCTCCTTCCTCACTCCTCTCAATAAAGTATGATTAATGCTAGAAATTTGGTTTTCATTAATTATATTCAATGTTATTTTCTGTAAAACAAATTTTGCATGCCATTATATTCCCATCTCATCTTCATCATTGCCTCTTGAGTTAACACAATAATATCACCAAAGTCATCTTCCATTACATCACCATTTGCCTTCACATTTAAAGCAACAATGTCATTTTCATATTAATCTATTTTTCCTTGTTAAAACAGAGAAGGCATTTCATACATTGAGACCCAGTTATGCAGTTCCATGATTGATTCCAAGAGAGGACTAGAGTTCAGGCAAATAACTATTGCTTTAATCTGCTCAGTACATTATTTCTTCTGCTAGATCTGGGGAAATGACTCAGGTAACTGGACTTGAGAGTGAAATAGAGGGCAGTTAGTTCATATGAATTCCCCAGGAAGCAGACTCTGAGACACAGTGAGCTTGCCAGATGTCTGTTAACAAATAATTCAGAGTTGGCATCTGGGGAAGAGAGAGGAAAGAAGCTGCAGTAGACTAAGAGAGAGGATGAAGTGGAAATCAGGCCCAGTTTCCAGGCTCCTGGTGACCCCATGTAGAATTCTGATGCAAGAAGGGCCCTTCATTATTACATGGAAGAAGCCAAGATGGCCAAACCTTTGTACAAGTCATTGGTCATTGATCTGTTACTAGTGTGGACTGCCCCAGGAGGGTTGAGGTTCTGAGTGAGATGTCATTTAGCAGACTGTCCCTGAAAAGTCTGTTCATGAAAGGCTTTAGTTCTCAGAAAAGGGCTATTTTTCCCTTAAGGAACATTTCAAGTCTAAGTATTTACCGTCATGACTAGAGATATGTAGCTGGAATCTAGTGGGATTTGTCCAGGGACACTCTAAACATGCAAAGAACAGCCTCCAAGGGAAAAAAATGTATGATTCAAAGCATTAATAGTTGGTGATATTATTGTGTTAACTCAAGAGGCAATGATGAAGATGAGATAGGAATATCATGGCATGCAAAATTTATTTTACAGAAAATAACGTTGAATATAATTAATGAAAACCAAATTTCTGGCATTAATCATACTTTATTGGGAGGAGTGAGGAAGGAGGAGAAAATGGAGGAGAGGAAAGAGAGCAAGAGATCAGTAAATAGTTGTCCTCAATGGCCAATAGGCCATTTGAAACAAGCTGCTAGACATCACTCTTGGTATCTACTCTTGATATCATTGTTAATGGAGATGTAGATTGTCAGACAGTGTTGCCTTCCTTTTTCCTCTTAATATTCTAACAAGCCTTTGGAGGCAGGTGTGAAGATTGCTTTTTGCTCAGGAGGAAACTGACCCTCAGAGCAGTCAAGTGAACTGCTCCAATCATGAAGCGGAAGGACAAAATGTGGAGTACAAAGACCTGCTTGTTGAAACAGTTGCTGTGTCTTTTTTCCCCTGAAAGTTCAAAGCATGTTGTCCCCAAACACACCCTTCTAGCTTATTGGCTATCTGAGTTGGAGACAAAAGAAAAGGCAGTACAAGAGCTAGTATTTTTAGTAAAATAATATAAAATTAATTAAGATAAAATAAAAACAAACAAAATAGGAACAGGGCAAAGTGAACAAACTACCAGAAGAAAAGAGCCAAAGAAAAAGTATGAGAAACACATGCCGCTGGGCATGGGGTCTGTTTTAGTGTTGCAGGGGATTTGTGTTGCTGTGAAGAGACACCGTGGACCATGACAACTCTTATAAAGGAAATAATTTAACTCAGGCTGAGTTACAGTTTCAGAAGTGTAGTTCATTATCATCCTGGCAAGAAACATGGGCAGCCTGAAAGAAGACATGATGCTGGAGAAGGAGCTGAGAGTTCTACATCCTGGTCCACAGGCAGCAGTAGTAGACTGGGTGTCACACTGGGCATGGTTATAAAACCTCAAAGTCTGCCTCTAGGGTTTTGGTTTTCAACACAAGATTTCTTAGTAGCCTTGGATTTTCTGAATCTCACTCTGAATACCATGTGGACTTGAACTCATAGAGTGCTGGGTGTAAAGGCATGCACCACCACTGTCCAGCATTGGTTTTCTGTGGTGGTACTCGGCTTCAAAGAGAAGTCCCTTTGATGAGAGTGAGAACCACACTAATCTATGTATAAAAAGTGTCAGAATGCAGTTAGGAATTATGCAGGTCTAGTAAATTGGAAGGAGTAGGTTCTCTTCAAAGTTTCACAACCTAAGTATTTTCTTCTTAGTTGGCTAAGTCATAAGCTTTTTACAGTTAAAAAATCGCAAAATCAGAAAGACTTGATTAATTCTCCCGGAAGTGTATCCACACCTGGATCACATTCCACAGCTTGAAAACCTCATCTAAAGTAAAATGTACACCTGCATTTGTGCATTCATTTCTAAAATGAGAACGTTTGCTATTTATCAGCACAATATGATAGGAGTCATTGTATGTCAGTCAGTGTTTTGTTTCCCCCAAGAAAGAGTATACATCTTTTCAAGTTTATAATAAATTTTCCTGATATATAATTTGCATATGAGAACAAAATTTATAATATTGTTATAAATCTAAGTAGCCATTTGATTTTCACTAAATGAATTTTGGTGAATTTTACCAAAGAATGTGTGCCTGTGGCAAGGTTATGGTTATAGTTGTACTGTGACATGGTTGATGAATGTTGCCTGGGATATCCAAATTTCATGCCACTGATGTAGGATCATAGCACAGAGACAAGAAGTGCTGCTTGCTGACAGCTATTACCAGGTGATGCCTCCATCATACATATGAGAGAGGTGTAAAGAATCTATAAAAACACAATAGGGAAAAGTAGCAAAGTTGTTGCAAAGGATAAATTTTGATCATTAGGTTGTCTTTGCCTGGGTGTCATCTGTTTCACTATCCACTATATTTTGTTTCTTTGTTTGAAACAGGATTTCACTATGTAGTCTTGGGTAGTCTAGAACTCACTCTGTAGCTCTAGCTAGCCTCAAATTCACAGAGATCCAGCCCTTTCTGCCCTCTGAGTACAAGGATTACAGTGATGTACCACAACACAAGATGTTTATAATGTCTTAATAATAATGGCTGAACAAGAGTCTTAGGAAGTTCCTGAAAATTTAATGGCTGGGTCTTTTATGTTCATTTAAAGACTTGAACTCACAGCTCTGAGCATAACTTTGAGTAACTTCATAAATGGAAATAACCCCATTACCATGCAAAATAGATGTCCAGATAGATAAAGCTAAGCAAACCTGTTCTTTAAGATTTACTGTTGTTTTTGTGATTTATTCACAGGCATTTCCCTGCATTTCAACAGGCATTTATGGTAAGTGATTTAACATTTGATGGTGTTTGTAATTTTTTGTTGTTAAATTGATGGGCAGGGTAGGGAATGGTTAACTTGAAAAACTACAAAATTTTTCTATGAATATATTTTTCTGTGACTTAGAGAGACTGAAAATATAGGTCAAGTTCCACTAAGGAGTCCCAGAAGGCTATTCAGATTGGTTTGTGTTCTTGAATTTGGTTATATTGAACATCCAGATGAAATGATTTGACTCATGGTGTCTCTAAGTCATTTGTTATATAAAAAAAATTTTTTTTGTTTTCACAAAGTTGTCTCCTAAAATTGTTTTCTTTAATGAAGTCAGATTTTTCTATCAAAAATGTATAATGTACACAAAGCCTAGCATCTTTGTACAAATATTTAAATACACAAACATTTTATCTGCGTGTGTGTATCTTAAACTTTCAAGATATCCAAAGAAGACACTGTTCAGAAAAACAACAACAACAACCACAACAAAATTCAATAACCTGCAAATGTTTTCTTTCCTGGTATTGATGGATTGTTTGAAGTAGTGAAAGGTGGACATTTTCTTAACCTGGTATTCCTTTAAAAGCCTTGATGAGAATGAAAGAAAAAATATCCCATCAAACAAAATTAAGACACCAAAGACTTGGTCATACATTTAAGATGGGACTCCTTCTTCAGACTGCACTTTAGGAAACACGAGTCCATGTTGTAGGAGTGGACAGGTAAGGGCAGATCTCCCCTAAGCCACTTATCCATGTTCTTTGTGTTGTTCCTCACCAATGCCCAGTTAGAAATCTGAACTATTTGCATAATGGAAGCATTGTGTGAAGGTGATGCCATGCCCCACTCCATACTTTAGCTTGTGAGGAGTCTGACCAGCTAACACTGCCGACACAGCTATCATTGTGAAGATGTTCATTCATTGTGATCTTGATTTTCCTCTACAATGAACAAACAGAACTGCCTAAACAACCACATTGGGCTCTTTGTCTATTACCATGTCAAGCCATTGATGCCTTTTGTTTCTGAAAATATTATAGTAATGTGCAATGAATTATGATAGGATATGCTGTGTAAAGAGGAGTAGCCCGAAAGCCAAACAGAAAAGTAAAGGGCGATGAAAAGAGACTGTTAAAATAGACCCCCCAAATAGACGGAAAATGCAAAGTCCAATCTAAAGTAGGCCCTGATCAATATTCTTCACAGAAGGACAAGAATCACTTCTTAGAGGGGAAATGTAGCTGAAAACCTAACAAGTGGCTCAGTCTTCCCTTGGGAGGAAAAGGAACAAGTGAAGACAGGATTGCAGTAGAGTGGCTCATGCTGACTCATTGAAGGGGCTGGGCATTATTTATTTTCTAATTGCTGTGATGAATACCTGGAAAAAGCAACATAAGGAAGAAAGAAGCTTCTTTTTGTTCTTATTTTGAGGGTACAGTCCCTGATGGGGGGAAGACCTGATTGTGGAAAATGAGTGAGTTGGTCATGAAGCAAATGTGAGTGATGAATGCTTCTCAGTCGTGACCCTCCTCTTCTTCAGCCTAGGACCCCAGCCCTTGAGGCAGTACTGTGAAGTCCAGGGTTGGACTTTCTTTCTTAGTTAAGCAACCATGAGAATAACTTATAGATACATTGAGAGGTATATCTCCTAGGTGACTGCAAACTCAGTCAAGCTTATGATGAAGATTCATCATTACAATTGCTACCGGGTAGGTGTAGCCATTTCCACAATGCAGGGTCAAAGAATACAGTACTCAAGCCACAGCTTCTCTTCTCAATTCTCTCTTTTTTTTGGGGGGGGGGAATCTATGAATGAGGATGAAACCTATGACAGTCAGGGGCCAGAGATCCATGCTGAATTTTAATCCATGGCATTTATTTTACTAACTTGTAGAAAATTCCAAGATGCTGTAGTTTGTGGCCTGTTCTACACTGGGCAATTTGAAGGTGACACCCAATTCCTTTATGAAGCCAAAACTTTCCGGTTGGTCCTTGATCCTTTGGAGGACACGTATATTGATGAATGGTTGTTCTCTTGTTCTTATTCAGAGCCGGCTAGCACCTCTTCCTTAACTGGTTGCATTAGTTTTACTTTTATCTTAGTTTCTGGAAGGTTGGTTTAGTAATATATTTAAAGAATGTATCTTTGACTACGAAGGAAAAATAAATTAAAACAAGCATAGACTGAAAATTGTAGCTCCTTGTACAATTGGTTTTGTGAAAATTTTTAGAATAATCTGAGGTTCCATTCCCTGCCTTTCTTACTCCATACTGAAAGCCTCGCTAGATTAATTTTTCTGTATCACTACTTGCTGCATGGTTTCCATCTGCTCAGGAGCTTTGGATTGCATTTCATTACCCGTGAGTTCATCTTCATTCTCCCTCCTTGGAACAATGGGCACTTTCTATTTATATTCCCTGAAACTATTGCACTTTCAAAAAAGAGGGGGAAAAATCCTAACCCTCTCTGAGAGGATGTAAAGTAGTGCACTCAGATTAATGTATTTTGACATACTTAAAAGAACAATTTAGTTGGCAGCAACTTTGGTTTGGTTTTGATTAAGGCAATGTTCTGGAACTTGTGATCCTGCTATCATAGCCTTCTGAGTACTAGGGTTAGAGGTGTACAACATCAAGCCCAACTTGCAGTTTTTCTTTAAGTTATTAATTACTTTATTTGCTAGGGAAGTTATTTTTGATGAAACACTTGTCAAGACTAGTATTTTTTCAGAACATCATTTGGCATTCATCCATCCTGACATATCCTTTGTAACACAATTTGACAACATATGCTTGGTAAGGTCCAGTCTTCTATCTTTCATATAATACATTCCTTTGTCACACACACACACACACACACACACACACACACACACATACCCTGCAGTGGTATCTTGCCTTCCCAGTAAACTTGTGGTGGTGGACACACACTTTAGGCATGATTTCAGGTGACCCATTGGAACGTAGAGGAGGGGCTGGCTTCAGCTCTCTTGGGTTGCAGAGAGCATCAGAAGAGCAGAGACTACATCTTCTGGAGCAATAAGACTGAGATGATTATTTACTCTTATCTTTGTAAGTGCTTCCTCAATAAATGCCTATTTATCATTTATCTTAGGTCTTGTAGACTCATTTAACTCCACCTTCCAAACACACACACACACACACACACACACACACGGGCAAAGTTGTAAGTTGTCTGTACTATCTCCATCTTTGGTTTCTCCCCAACACTCCAAGAAGAAATGTACTTTGCATACCTGAGCAGGTTGCACTTCTATCTCCAGAAAGCCTAGAGTGACCAGTTCTTGGAGATCATCGCACCTCCTGAAACCTTTGAGAATTTGAACATGACTTATAAATGCTTCCTCATGTTACTCCATACAGTTTTCCCAGTGAGCTTTGTACTCACAGCCAGTTTGGATTCTCTTGGTCATTAACATTGTTGCTATTTTTGTAGTGTGCAGAGTCAATCCCAGGGAATTTTGCACTTGCTAGACAGGTGTTGTACCACTCAGTTGTACCTCTTAACATACAGATACTGGTGCATGTACTGTGCCTACCCCATACCCTGCAGAGCTCTGTGTCTATTGATTAGCAAATATTTGTTATTGGGAATAATAACGTCGCACAAATTGTTGCCTTACCAAAGATATAGAAAAATAAATATTTGATTGATAACATAGCAGGCAGAGAAAGCTAATCAGTTGTCATTTTCGTTTTAAATGTTTCCCTTCATATATAAAACATAAACATTATAGGTATTCACCTGATGCTTTATGGATACATTGTACAGTGCTCAAATAAGGCTGTATATGTTCATGACCTCAAGCATATTTATGGTTAGAACCTTCAGAGCCATTTCTCCTTGCCCTTTGAAATAGTAACACTTTGTGATTATCTATAGTCAACCTGCCCTAGTGGTATTTTCTTGGTGGGTAAACAAGGCTACTTTAGGGAAAACAGACATTTGTAAAAAGCATTCTCAAACTAGAATCAAATGATGACAAGGAACTTGCTCATTGGAGAGCCCAGCAGAGATCCTCTGTCCTTTGTCACAGCTCCCAGAAATAAGGTCAGTAGAGGACACATAGGCCAGTGAGCTGGCACATTGTGACTTGTGACACACCTCACCCCATAGGCTTCTCCAGAAGCTGTTATGCTGTCATTTATCAGTCCCTTTTTAACAGTATTGACCTGCAAAGGAGCTGCCAATCATACTCTCTCAATTTTGAGAATCGTGGATGCACATTTTGAAAATGTTAAGGCCAAGACAGATACTCTAGAACCCAAGAACGTCCATATATTCATATCTGACAGTCACAATAAAAGGACTAAGCCCAGCACTCAGGGCCATGTGGCCCCAGCAGAAGCCACCCTTCCCCCATCCTTCTTCCTATTCCTTGGTCTTGAGAAGGCAAACTCTGGAGTACCCGGGAAACAGCTGAGGACAACAGCCCACTCCAGGGTTTACCCTGATTTAAGGAAGAGACAGGGTTGGAGCAGACCCTGCCTCCTTTGAAGTTCCCCTGGAGGAGAAAGGGACTTTACCACAGGGCCTTTTGGGGCTGTCTGACTGACTGCCCCTGTATAAGGGTTTCAGCACAGAGGCCAAGGGCCCCAGACCTCCTGCTGATTGGCAGGATGAAAGCCTCATTTAGGAAAGCACCAAAGAAAAGCAAGTGTTCCTTTTAGAAAAACAGATCCAGGTGAGGCTAACCCTCCAGATCCCTGTTAAACATTTGAACTGGCCTCCACTTTAGTCTCAGAGGGAGGATTTTGAACTTCCTTGATCGACTTTTCAGACCCGGTGCGTGTAGTACAGTCTGCCCTCTGAGTCCCATTTGGACACTCTGGTGCTAACAAGTTAAGAAAAAGAAAGAAATAAAGAAAGGAAAAAAAAAAAAAAAAAAAAAGACTAGACATGATACAGAGCAAAGGAATTTTTACTAGAAGCAAATGGCAAAATAATTTCAGTTCGTTTTATGAGAGTCACTAGAGTTAACTGATAT